AGAGTATAGAGTATAGTATAGAGTAGAGAGTGGGGGGGGGGGTGGGAGGGTAATAGATACCTCTAATTTGTACTTTCTAGGCATGCCCCTCCAATAGTTTTGAGACGTGAAGATAATCAGATCGTTAAATCCCTATTCTACAGTTACATGTTAGGTCGCCTAATTTTTTTAAAGGAAAAGTTTATATAAAGCCTAGCTTTAAACAATCAAATTAAAGCCTACATCAAAAATTTCACTATAAGAGGTTGTTTTTGTGCTCAAATATCTTCAAATTGATCATCTCGACATCAAGATGCATGGACTTGGGAAAAAAAAGTGATTTTAAGTTTTGGAAATAGTGCATTTTTTTACCGTCAATTTTTAAGTTATTCAGGTTCTCATAAATATGCTCAATCTACACTATTTTTTAAGCTTTAAATTTTATAATTGTAGATGAAAAAATATTTTAAGGCTAATCAAGAATTTTCAATATTAAAACCACATATCTCCTCACTATTTGAAAGTGGGTTTTAATTTGATTGTTTAGAGCCTCAGCTCTATACAAACGATACTTTTTTTTTAAATATTCTTTTAATTTCGGATATAGCGAATATGTCATTGATGTACCATATATATATTATTAATGAAAACTTGGTAGGGACCCTTTCGTCACTGACTTACCGCAAAAGAAAGGTATTGAACACAAAACATGGACATGGACAGTGAAGAGCACGCGATTTTATGTTACATTTGGTAAAAGAAGATCAAAATCACTCATGTATGCTAGATTTTGATTTGGGTGGTTGTAGATTAAATAAAAAAATTGTCGAACCTCCCCCAGCCATTCAATTTGACATTTAATAACTAGAAATAATTATATCTTCTTTATATTTTCACTAATCTTCAATTATGACCTCCTTATAACAAAAATAATTCGTCTCAAAGTATCCATTAATAAATCAATGAATAAATAGGTGGAGAAACAATCCATTAATAAACCCATAAATAAATAGGTGGAAAAAACTTTTAAAACTTCCATAACGAAAAAAGGAAAAAGTTTATATAGAGCTGAGACTCTAAACAATCAAATTTGAACCCACCTTAAACATTTCATTAGAAGATGTTGTTTTGATGCCCAAATATCCTCAAATTGCATCAAGATGTCTTGATGAACATGAGAGAAAAATGTATTTCAAGTTTTAGAAATAGTGCAGCTTGTAATGTATTTTTAGACCGTCAATTTGTTCATGTGAGAAAAATGGATTTCAAGTTTTAAAAATAATGCATCTTGTAATACATTTTTTGACCATCAATTTTTAAGTTTTTTGCTTGATCTACACTTTTTTTAGGCTTTTAAAAAATGAAAATATATTTTAAAACTATCACAATGATTTCCAAAAACCACATTTCTCAACATTATTTGAATCTACTATTTTTTAAGCTTTAAAAAAATGAAAATATATTTTAAAACTATCACAAAGATTTTCAGTATTGAAACCAAATTTCTCAACACTATTTGAAGGTGCGCTTCACTTTCTTTAGAGCCTCGGCTCTGTACAAACTGCACCCTTAAAAAAAGGTAATAAATAAGGAAAAAGTTTATATAGAGCCTAAGTTCTAAACAATCAAATCAGTGCCTACCTCAAAATTTTCACTAGAAGATATTGTTTTGATGCCCAAATATCCTCAAATCGATCATCTCGACATCAAGATGCATGGACATGAGAAAAAAATGGATTTCAAATTTTGAAAATAGTGTATTTTGTAATGCATTTTTGAACCTCAACTTTAAGGCTTTTCAAGTTTTCATAGATCTGTTGATCTACACTATATTTGAAATTTTAAACTTTATAAATAAGAGCAATGATATCATGCAACCGTTGTATAGTAATATGATGCAACAATGTTAAAAAACCATCTTATGGCCATTTGTTTGATCCAAATTTTAAAATGTAAACTCTTTTCATTATAATGAACAATCACAAATAAAGAAAACATTGAAAAAAAAACCTATAAATTATTTTTTTAGCCAATTAACATAGGTCGTTCATTTTGGTAAGATCGCCTTAGAAGGATT